CCGGAGCTGCTCCGGCGGGCACAGAGCGGGATCCCGGAGCTGCTCCGGCGGGCACAGAGCGGGATACCCGAGCTGCTCCGGCGGGCGCAGGGCGCAGGGTCCGGCTCACTCGGGCTGTCACAGGTGCCAGTGCGCGTCTCCTCCGCTGGCAGAGCTTGCCATGWACGTCCCCAGCTGGGTCCCAGTGAGCCCAAACGCCTCGGAGCCGTCAGCCCACGGCCCCGCACTCCCCTCGCAACTTSTTCCCCTCTCAACTTGTTCCCCTCGCAACTTCTCGCTCTGCGCTGCGGAGTTGGGCAGAGCCGCGGATGCCGGAGCGGGCTCCACTCTCTGCGGAAACTCGCCTGCCCCACCTAGAGGCGCCCCGCAGGATGAGGAGGAGTCCCGGGTCCATGCCCGCTATCCCTGAGCTGGGATTTTGCTGGTGAACAGGTTTTATCTGGTTTGGCTGGGAGAAGAGGAGCCAGAGACTGGGGTACGGAGCAGGAAATGCTTCTGGGGAGATCCTAGCAGCAGGAGAAATGAGGGGGAAGTTTGATGACTGAACTGGTTCAATTTAGYGAATGTTGGTATGGCAAAATCGAACTATTCTGCAGAAACAGCTGATTTTCAGATAATTTGGGGTGACTCCTCTGAACTGCGCCTCAGTTTCCTACTCTTCCATGGAAATTGTGGGGATTCCCTGGACTTCCCACCGGACACTTACTAGGGAGGGATAGCATGGGAGACATCAAGTCACTGGGTCCCCGAGAGCACACACAGCTCATTGCTGCTTCTAGAAATTTCTAAAGAATATCTTAGATCATTTTCAGATTAAAAATGTCATCACTACCTTTCTGAACTACTAATTCCTTTTTTTTCCGAAGCAAAATTGAAATATTCTTATACTGTTGGGCTTTCTAAAGGTTGCAAATTCTGGTTGTCAGCTATCTCTGCACAAGGAGATTGACAGTATTTCTGCAAAGACAGTRTTCCTTAAAATATAAAAATGTGAAATAACCTACTCAGATGGCATTATTTATGACTGAAGTTAAAATAAATGAAATGCAAAATACCCAGCCCACCTGCAACTTACTTTAGTGCAGTTAGAGCAGTTAACTCAGAGGTCATAAAGGAGAAGCATATCAACACTAYACCTCCTTTTTTGAGCATCCAATATGAAGTATGAAAAACTGACAGTGCTTGATCAGTGGACAATATTTCTCAAAAAAGACCTTCCAGCCTTGTTGGATACAAGATTCTTAAGTATTATTCTGGTGTGTGTTCTTGTAACTCCACAGTTGACCTGACAGTCCCCATCCCATTGGGCAAAGGCAGAAATCAGAGGAGCTTTGGTTCCTATCTAACATGTACCAAACTCAACGGTATGAATCAATATTAAAATATAATTGGGCATTTTAAAAAAAATTATTAAGAAACACATTCAATACAATTATTCCAGTTGTCAAAAGCTGACCCTGCTTCCTTCTTACCTGYAGAGAAGAAAAGATTATGACTGGTTTCACTACAATACAGACAAAACATGGCTAAGCCTTCCACAGGGGTTGCTTCTTCTAGCAGCAGGTGAATTGCTCCTGAACCTAGTTCCTTTCTGAAACAAAGATAYAAGAGAGACAAGGATGAAGGTGGCAGTAGCAGGGCATGTTCCCTGGAAATAATGAAATAAAGCCGAAAAGAGGTCACTTCCCTAAAGCCCACAGGCTTCATCTGTTCCTGAGAAGAGCCAAAGGCAGGACCATGAAAGAAGAAAGTGTGGAACAGAGAGCAGAAGAACAAGAGCTGTTTATCCCCATTGCCTGTGGAAGCAATGCTCATGCAATATTTGTGTTCCCTCCTGAAAGCGTTTGAATCTACTGGCTAATAAAGATACATTTCCAGAAGCCTATAACAATAAGCAGCTGACTGAAGACAGTCACCCCCAATTTATTGCCCAGATTTGGAGAAAGCACAGTGTGAAGACACCTYATGAGAAAGCAACCGATCCATGCAGAGAGAGACCTCACACATTCTCCAGCCACCCAAAAAGCATACATCTTGTAGACCACACAAGTCAGTCAACTCACAGAACAAAAATCTGTAGGAAATCAGGATTCATTAGTTCCAGTGTTTCTGGAGCAAGATGTTTTTCTGAGGATGGTTTATCATCATTGGTCTGAGAGGCATTGGAGAATTTTATATTTGGGTTTGGCTCCAATTAGGTTAATTTTCATTCTTCTGTTTCTCCCAGTCTTCAGAGCAGCTAGGTTGTGCCAAGGGTAGAATCACAGTGCAATATGGGTGCCCAGGGTCCTGCCTCTGAGTCAACTMCTCATGGTTTGGTCTTGAAGTCCACATCCCACCAGGGCTGACACCTGGCCCAGAGAAGCTGCTCTGCAGAGATGCCATGTGAAAAAGATGAACTTATATTTTGTTGATCTAGCCACAGTGGAAAAGCAAGGACAAAAGGAGCAGAGCCACTTTTCAGACAACCACCAAAATGACGKTGGTTTTTTGATGCCTGGCATCAGGTAACAGGCTGAAAGGATTAACTACCCCTTTCAGCCCCTATAACATCCATATGTCTATTCACCCTCTCTGACATCTGAAATTCCTGCCCTGAGCACCCAGCTGGAATGAGGGGAAATGCAGGCATCAGTGACAAAATAAGTATATGCAGCCACAAGAAAGGAGAGGAGGACTGAGCCGTGATGGGTAACCTATGAACTCAGCCATCTGGACTTGTGAGGCGTCTTACTGCTTGCCTTTTCTATCAGAATGGAGTGTTCCATGGCACATGAATATCTGTTATCACATAATCATCCTTCTGCCTTACTTTTGGTCACACCAGGAGCAGCCCAAGGGCAGAATATGTCACTGCAATATTTCTTAGGTTTGTCCAAAGGGCCTGTRTCTTCCCTCAAGTCATGGGAGAGGTAGAATGACATGGAAAGTGCCTGTATCACGTGTCTAAAACAGACAATGGGTTTSCCTGGTGTGTGTTCTTGCTGCTGCCATCAGCTAAGTAAGATTGATGGGACTCTCTCCCTTTCACATTTTGTGTCGTCTCCCCTGCCCCACAGTGACACAGGAGATGGTGGCATGAGGAGAAGGAGAGAGGATTATAGTCTTTGGAGATCCTTTCTCCTTTTGTGGTGGAAGATTGTCTGGTTTGTAACTAAAGACTTGAACTATCTAAAGACCTCTACTGTGTCTCAGAAGTAGTGATATTCATTTTATTGCAAATTGAAGGCTGAGAAAGATACTCTAAGAAGGAAAAATGAAATAATTGAGCAGATCTTCTTGGGAATGAAAAGGCAGCAGTTCTGGAGGTGTGCTTGGTAAAGGGTCCCTTTACCAGAGCTTATATTTATTTCACAAAATACAAAATCACAGAATTAAAAGCACACACCTGTAATCACCAGCATATTAAAGCATTTATTTCACTGTTACAGTCATGAGTATACATGTGAGGGAATTCTTTAGTTAGCAGTTATTACTTTTCAAGTATCTACAAAATACTAAAGCCATTTAGCCACATAAAAAGTGAATTAACCTGCAAAAATTATTTGTAGATATTCCTGAGCCTGTAAGATGTTACTCTTAACATAAAACTGAAGACTTGCAGCTCGGAATCTGTTTTTCTCTTTTGTGTGTAAACATTGTATAAAACCCTAGAATATTCTGACTTGGAGAAATCACCTAGGAAAGCTAACTAGAGCAGTGTTTTAAGCATTTGTTGTAATTTTGATCATCATAGGTTTTTCTTTTTTTATAAAATACATGATCATCACCTGACTTTAGTTTAATAAAAAAGTATAAACGGGCATGAGTGGTATTGAGTTTATAAACAGTTTCTAAAATGAGGTTTCTAAATTGGTGGTGATTTTAGCCATTGGTTCAAACCAAAATCTAATTGAAATTTGGACCATAAAATTATGGGTAGAGCTAACCACAGTGATGTCACTATTTGTCACTTACATGGTGGAAAAAACCAAAAAGGCTTAGGTCATAAATCTGACCAAAACAAATTTCTAGGTCTAGTATGATAATCCATTCCATTCACTACCAGTCAGCTCTTTCTCCAGAGTGACAAGAGAGTTTAAATTCACATCCCTAGAAGTCAATTACACCTTTATTACTCTTAATATATGTAATACATCTTTAATCCAGGAAGCTTGTATTGAGAGGAAGTATTCAGGATGCTTTTCAAATGCATGCCAGTAACACATTTTTCAAATATAGTGCAATGAMTTTCCATTTTGTTTATAACTTCTTCCTTGGCAGATTATTTCCCTTCATGAATGCAGATGGCTTGCACATTTGATTAATATTTGAATATGGTATTATATCACCTGCAATATAGGACTGTGATGTATTACTAAACTTCAAAATACCTAATAAATTGGAACTGTCAGCTGGTTAAATGGATCAATTCCAGCCTTGCAGTAATGCTTCCATCCAAGTGCAGGTGATTCAAGGTCAGCAGGTAGTCAGGAYCCATGGGTGACACCACAATCTCTGTCAGCACTGGTGGGCTGTTCTCTAAACATCCT